TCCACCATATGTGGATCATAGTGCCTCTCTCTGCTCCGCATCGCCAGCATTTCTCGTCATTGTCTGGGTTCATGCGATGTAGTGTATCAGGGGTTCTGTACCAGGTAGTTAGTAGCTTGTAGCTCATCTCCTGAAATTTTGAGCTAATAGAACTTTTGTGTGTGAGTAGGAATATTTTATCCCATTCATGGGCTTCGACTACCTCCCCTGTCTCTCTCTCCCATCTGGCGATGTATTTCGGTGGTGGTCTATTCTCACCCTCCAGAAGCAGTGCGTATAGCGTCGAGATCCCTCTCTCGATATGTCGCATTCTGATGCATATTTTTTCAAAATATGTGGGGTCTCAATGGAATTGTTGTTTGGCCGTTGCGGAGTTGTAGAAGGATTTGACCTGCTGGTATCGGAACCGGTCGAGCATCGTTGGGGCATTATCTGGGATTAGTTCAGATAAGGTTTTTAGGGCGCCATTATTGCACCATTGGTGTATGTAGGACCAGTCTGACCGTCCAAAGTTTTTTAGATCTGCAGGTGTCAGTCATCCTCCGATGTCTGGGTTATGGGTGAGGGGTGTGAGCGGGCTGTTATGTGTCGTCAGCTGTTGAGGGTATCGGAGTGCGCACCACGCCTTTAGGGTTGCGTCTATCAAAGGGTTGCCAGTGCTGAGGGCGTTAGGTGTAATTCCCGTCCTCCATAGTTCCGAGGGTATTTTCCCCTCAGCCTGTGCTATTTCTGCTCGCACCCACAGCTTCTCCGTCGGGTGGGAGTGCCAGTCAGTGACCCTCAGCAAATGGGTTGCTCGGTAGTAACCGATGATCGAAGGGAGTCCCGTCTCTGCTGCAGAGTCTGGGCCAGCAATCTACTGCATTTATTTGAGTATTCATAAAAATAGCGGTGGGATCTGCGTACCACTTTAAGTAGCTTCTGCGAGAGTATGTGCCTAAGCTGTCGCCTCGCGTCGGTCAGTTGGAGGTAAACGTCTTCTGTCAATTCCCTTTTATGGGTGGTTTCAAGTTCGGTTATCCGTTTGGTCAATTCCAAGATGTGTCTGGTGTTCTCCCGTTTGCGCTGCGTGCAGAGATTTATGTAGTGCCCCCTAACTACACATTTATGTGCCTCCCAAGTTATCAGTGGGGATACATCCGGGGTGGTGTTGGTTTCGAAATATTGGGTGAGTACTTGCGTGGTCAGCATTGAGCATTCTGTATCTGATAGTATGGTTTCGTTTAATCGCCAATGGCGCTCCTTCGGCTTGAAGAGGGGTGATTGAATCTGGATGGACACAGGGGCGTGGTCGGAGTCTCCTTGGATTCCTATGTCTGCGGAAATGAGCAGGGGGAGGAACTCTTGCGCGATAAAGATGTAATCTATCCTGCTGTATTGGGGCGGAGTAGCAAGTATAATCTCTGCTGTTAGGGTGCGCCACCCGCCAGCAGTCGGTCAGGCCAAGTCTATTGAGTGTTTGTTTGGTCCTGCGTTTGCAGTGGTCTGGGATGGTGCTGTTACCCCTTGACGTGTCTACTCGGGAGTCCAGGGGGGTGTTTAAGTCACCCGCTAATATCAGTAAGCCTTCCTTGAACTTTTCTAAGCGGGCCATCGCCCGAGCCAGGAATGTGTGTTGACCCCGGTTGGGGCAGTACACATTAGCTAGCGTATTCGGGCGTTCCGCTATGGTTCCTTTTATGAAGAGATATCTTCCCAGTGGGTCAACCTGTGTGGTGGTGCATTGGAAAGGCACTGTCCCTGCAAAGAGGATCGCCACTCCTGATCTTTTGGAGTCCTGGTGGTTCACGAAAAAGCCCTGGGGGAATCTTTTATCTTGTAGCGCGGGGGCGGACCCATCTTTAAAGTGGGTCTCCTGCAGAAATGCCGCGGAGATCTTCTGGGACCACAGTGTCCGCAGAAGTAGTGTGCGCTTCTCGGGGACGTTTAGGCCTCTTATGTTGTTAGATCAGAACCTGAGCGGAGCAGGTTGGAATTTTCGTGGCATTGCGGCAGTGGTGGGTCAGGGTGGGGGGGAGGGAGGTGAGGTGAGGAAAGATGGGGAGGAGCGTGGTCTGTGTCAGGGGGGGACGGGTCTGTCGGTGGTAGTTGGTATAGTCAGGGGTAATCAGACAACAATGACCCAAGATCGCAAACATTTTTTATGTAATATACTTTTACTATACAATAAAAAAAAAATCACCAAACTTCAAGGAATGAAAATGTATCATAATACTTGCAAGCTTATAGAGTAATTGTAAAAATGTAGATGCCGTTGACTTGTAGTTTATTTTCTTTGAAGACACGTTTCCTCCTTGTCCTCAGATGTCATAAGAAATATGGTTATTGCAAGCATTTCCTGCCTGCTGCTGCACAATTCTGCAATTAAACCCCACTTGGGCTATATAGGTTCTACTGACCAACATGGGTAAACTGCAGCATGTTATATATTCCCCACAAACAAAATTTGTCCTGTTTCTCTCTGCATTGCAGTAATGCTGTATGTTTGTTTCCTTCCATCTTAGTATACAGTTTTAGGGTAAGTCTTTTTGAGCACTAAAATCTCACATTTTCCTGTTATGCTTTATAGCCTGGGGTCATCAAAATAAGAATATTTAGTCTTTGAGTGTATCACAGATCTTATCCACAATAAATTATACAGTTTTGTGCAGGGTGTATAAGTGTATCACAGCCAATAAACCTCACAGCAGTAGCATTCCCCCAAAAATGCATCTGATATCAGATGCTCAACTAGCCCACAATAAGCATTGCAAAGTAATTTAAGTCAGAGTGGAGGCAGAGGGACACTATAGCGTTAGCAATACAGTTACAGTTTTGCATTCCTAACACGTTAGTGTTCCTTTAATTGAAGATTTTTAAATACAACAATACTGAACAGGTAAGGAAAAAGGCAAAATCATAGTTGGAAAACGTACTCCAAAATTGTTTGAGATTCCACAGCCAGTAATAATTATCCAAACAGCAAGGTCTTTGACAAACTTAGAGCAGAATCTGTCTTTTTTTTGAGGTCTTTGCATAGTTTGCAAGGACCAACGAAGGTGACATCTTTGCTTAGTGTCAGGTGGTCGAGGGTGCTGTGGAAGGTAGGATACCTACTTGAAGCTGCTCCTTGCAGTCACCGCTATCTTCTTAATGTAGATTTTCTTCTGCTTCTTGTGCTTCATTTGCCAGGTATCTCAATAGTGCTGTACTCTCTGAGAGTACAACACTGAGGTCAATGGAGGATCCTGCAAGACGTCTGGAGCCTCCATAGACATCATCTTGCGATGAGTAAGACTATGCCTGAATCCCACAGTTGTTACTGGTAACCGCTGCTGGGACTGGACAAAAGTTGACAGTGGAGTTCTGCCTTTTGTCAACCTCAAGTTTATCATATTACAAAGTAGTCTTTACTTTGCCTCTTGGTATCCTTGAATTGCGTTGAAGCTTCAATGACATTCCAAGGAATTTAGAATAGAGTATTTTACACATGATATCTTATTAAATACTGTGACAGAGCCGCTTTAAGTTGCCAAAGTGTGACACACTGAACTATGCATACAAATGATCATGATCGATTAATTAAGAGAGTGAATCAAGGTCAGTCACATGACGAGGTTGCCTTAGCAACTATAATACACAGTACCATATTTGTAAATGTAAAAATGTGGTTGGTGATGGTTGTGACATAGCACCTGTACTGCACCTGCCACAGGGGACCCTGGAACACTTCAGCCCCAGCCGCCAAAGCTTGACTGGGGTCTCTCCGGAACTCATCCACCCAATCAGCTCCCTCCTTGCAGGTAAGTAGCCATCTCTGCCTACACTGTGATAGCTCTTGCCTTTATAAATACACTTGAGGCCCTCAGGCCTTGCTCTCTTTTTGATTTGTCCTAGACTAACAGCCAGCCAACAAGTCCAAAGACACTGTTACTAGGATCCTTAAAAAATCCACACAAACACACAGTTCCAAAAGGAACGAACATCCCAACTTTATTTTTGAACTAAGACTAGCCTTTGGGGATTACTCCTTAAACATGTGGTGACAACCATAAAAAATTCACATATATAAAACATTGGAGAATGAGTAGTTATAATTAATACATGAGCTATATAATACAAATAAGATTTTCCAACACAATAAAAAATCAACAATATATCCATTAAACCACATATTTGGTTGCCCTCATTTGCATACCAGCATTATGTAAATTGACACTTCTAGTCAGTCATGCATAAGGTGCTGCAGAGTTATAGCCATGTATAGTTTACTAGTATGCATGAAGACTCATCTTGGGATCCTTCTCTGAATGCTGTGCAGGAGCCCATTAAAGCAATACTATAGGCACCTCCCCACCCAAAAGTTAAATAACACTTACCTTATTCCAGCGCTGGCTTCTTTTTCGCCTTCTCTGATGTCATCATGAGGAGGAACCCAACGCTCATGTGCATTAGGTTTTCCCTGTTGGAAAGCATTGAATCAAATGAGTAAACATTCTTAGATGCTCTGAGTACCCTTTTTAAATGTCTTATAGTAACATTTAAAGGTCAATTCATTACCTTTACACAGTTTTTTTTTTTTTTTGACAATCTTTATTTTCCTTTTTATCATTTTGTCACAGAAATGTGTAGATACGGTGAAACATCAGTTGTAACATCATATTTCTGAATAGCATAACAACATTCGTAGCCTTTATACTAACATTCTCAAATCATAAATATTTCAATAGTTTCCTTCACATGCATTAGGTAGTGTAACATATGATCAGGTTTCAAGGCTCCTAGCTCCTCTTGCATTCAGTGCGCAGTTTGTTGCACTTATGATGTGCACTCTACGTTTAGGGTGAGAACCGGTATCTGGTCTAGTAGCTGTAGGGGGTATTTAAGGTGTCCGTCCTGGAGTACTCCAGGTATCGGTGGTTTGTGTAGTTTGTTCTAGCGGGTGTTATGTCTTCCTGATGTCTGTTGTGGTCGGGGGTGTGAAAACTGTCCGTAGTCTGTGTGTGGTTAATGGGTAGGGCGTGTCTGTGCTTATGAGGGGTAAGGCAGTTATCGTGGTGTTCTGTGAGTTTCAGCTATATTGGCTCGGGGGTTACAGTTCCATCTGCCACGTATGTGGTCCATGGGTACCAGGTCAATGCACACCGCTCCGATCTCCCGTGGAGGTCGGCCGTCAGGGTCTCCATTGAGTATATGTCCTCTACCACTGACATCCATTGCCCCAAGGTGGGCGCTCTTGGCTGTTTCCACATCCTCGGGATAAGGGATTTGGCGGCATTGAGTAGCGGCAGTTCCAGGGATTTTTTGTAGGCTGTCAGTGGGCTTTGGGTGTGGTGCAAAAGCATCGTTAGGGGTGCCAGGGGGATATCGGTGCCTGTAATTTTGTTGATCTCTCCTCTAATTTGTTCCCAGAAAGGGGCAATTACTGGGCATGACCACCACATGTGGAGATACGTGCCAGGTTGTGTGCCACATCGCCAGCACATGCCTGACGTGGTACCGTGCATGCGGTGCAGTGTGTCGGGCGTTCTATACCAGCGCGTTAGCACTTTATAGTTTAATTCCTGATATTTTGAGCTGATAGAGCATTTGTGCGTGAGGGTATAAATCTTGTCCCATTCGTGCGCAGTGAGTGTCTCTCCCGCATCCCTCTCCCAGTGGTCTTTGAACCTAAGCTCCACGTCCCTGTTCGTCTGAGTCGTGAGTAGGGTGTACAGGGTTGAAATTCCCCTGGTGATGTGTGTGCGTTGCACACATAGGGTTTCAAAGTCAGTTAAGGGTCTGTGTAGGTGCCCCTTACCCGACAGGGCTGAGTAGTAAGATTTTATTTGGCGGTATCTAAACTGTTCAAGGAATGTAGGTGTTCTGTCGGGGCATAGTTCTCCGATTGTTTTTAGGCCGTTGGTGCTGAGCCATTGGTGTATATATGACCAGTCCGTTGGTTGGAGTCCGGCTAGGTCACCTCGAGTCAGTGAATCTGCCAAGTCCGGGTTATGTGTGAGGGGGATCAGGGGGCTGGGCGAAGTGGTGAGTTGTAGACGGTATCGGGTTGCCATCCAGACCCTCAGGGTGGCGTCTATTAAGGGGTTTTTAGTTTGTAGATCTGCATGCGTAGCAGTGTGTAGCCATAATGTGGGGGGTATGTGCCCTCCCGACTGTTCCAATTCCAGCGTGACCCATTGTTTTGTGGGATGCTGTGCGTGCCAGTCTGTGAGCCTGTGTAAATGTGCGGCCCGGTAGTATGTCTCAATTGAGGGCAGGCCGGTACCCCCCAACGGTTTTGGCAGTTCCAATGTCGTTCTCTTGATGCGTGTTGGGCGCGAATTCCAAACGAATCTGCGGATGGCGGTCGACAGGGAGCTAAAGAACGCCCTGGGGACCGCGATCGGCACCGTCTGGAATAAATAGAGCAGTCTGGGTAGTAGGTTCATTTTGACTGCGTTAATGCGTCCAAACCAAGATATATATTGTGGGGCCCATTTTCTCATGTCTGCCTGGATCTTTTGTAGCAGCGGGTGGTAGTTTTGGTAGTACAGTTGGGTCATGTCTTTTGGTAGCCATATACCCAGGTATTTCAATTTAGTGGGGCACCATTTGAAGCGGAATTGGGTGTGTAGCGTCGTTGAGGAGTCCTGGGGGCTTGGAAGGTGAAGGGCTTCTGACTTATCTGTGTTGAGCTTAAGGTTAGATATCAAGCCAAACCTTCGGAATGCGGCCAGAAGATTAGGAAGTGATATCCGCGGAAGGGTGAGGAAAAACAACATGTCATCCGCGTATGCCGCAACTCGATATTCTCGCCGGCCGACGGTGAATCCCGTGATACCCCCATCTCGTCGGACCGCCCCCAGGAAGGGTTCCAGGGAGAGGGCAAACAGGAGGGGGGACAGCGGGCAGCCCTGGCGGGTTCCATTTCGAATGGGAAAGGGGGTGGACAGAGCACCATTCACCCGAATCCGTGCCGTCGGGCTCGTGTACAGGGAAAGGACCCATGATCGCATGCGTGGGCCGAATCCCATGTGTGTGAGTGTTTCCTCCAAGTACAGCCAGTCCACCCGGTCGAAGGCCTTCTCGGCATCTGTCGAGAGGAGGAGTAGCTCCCGGTGTTGCGACCTTGCTACTTGCAGTATGTTTAGGGCTTTGATGGTGTTATCTCTTCCCTCCCTCTCTGGGATGAACCCGACCTGGTCCGAGTGCACTAGGTGTGGTAGGTGCTTCGCGATTCGCAGGGCTAGTGTCTTGGCGAACAGTTTGAGGTCTGCATTGAGCAGGGATATGGGGCGGTAGCTAGCGCAATTCGCTGGGTCTTTACCTTCTTTGGGTATCACCGTGACTATGGCCGCTAGTGTGTCAGTGGCAAACCGTTCCCCGTCTTGAAGTGAGCTAAGACCTCGTAGGAGGTTCGGCAATAATACATCGCGGAATGTTCGCAAGTATGCCAGCGGAAGGCCATCTGGGCCAGGCACTCTGTGGGATTTGGAGATTTTTAATGCTGCGGCTAACTCTTCTATCGTGAGGGGTCGTTCTAGTTCCTCTATCATTTCTGGGGTCAATTGTCTTTCTACATTTTGGTCTAAGTACTCCGTTATTTGGCCCCGGCGTTGGGCCTGTGTGGTGACCGTCGTGGGCTGGGGGATATTATATAAGTCAGTGTAGTAGTCCACAAAAGCACGTTGGATTCCGTCGGGTAGACTTGTTACAGTCTTGTCTCTAGTGTTAATTTTGTGTATGTGGTTCGCCCTTCTCCTGTCTTGAAGCTGGCGGGCTAAAAGCCTACCGCTCTTGTTGGAGTACTCGAAGAAGTGCCGAGCCGACTTTCTAAGGGTGCGCAAGAGGCCCTTGGCTAGTATGTCCCGTCTCTGCCTCCTAAGCTCCGTCAGTCGGTGGTACTCGTTTTCCCCCTGATTTTGTTTGTGTGCCTGCTCTAGTGTGGTGATTTGTGCGTTTAGGGTGGACAATTGTTGTGTGCGTTCTTTTTTACGCTGTGAGCATATTTTGATATAGTGGCCTCTAATGACACATTTATGTGCCTCCCAGATTGTTAGGGGGGGGGTGTCTGACGTGTTGTTGGTGTCAAAGTATTGTGTCAGTGCTTGCCTGGCTTGTTCCTTGTCCACTAGGTCAAGTAGTAAGTTTTCGTTCAACTTCCATTGCCGCTCTGCAGGTTTATGTAGGGGGGATTGGATTTGTACTGTAATGGGGGCGTGGTCAGAGTCTGCGATATGCCCTATGCTAGCTCGTTGGAGTAGTGTTAGGGCCTCTTGCGCCATTAGGATGTAGTCTATTCGGCTGTAGCGTCGATGTACAGCCGAGTAGAAGGTGTAGTCTCTGCCCTCGGGGTTAGCCACTCTCCAGCAGTCAGCTAAGCCACACCGGGCTAAGGCCCTCCCTGTTGAGCGTATGCAGTGACCTGGTATCGAAGTTTCTCCCCTAGATGTATCCAACCTAGAGTCAAGGGGAATGTTGAGGTCTCCTGCCACTATCAGAAGGCCTTCTCTGAATTTGTTTAGTAGGGCTAGCGTTTTAGTTAGGAAGACGTGTTGACGTCGATTAGGGGAGTACAGGCAGGCAAATGTGTAGGTGGACTGTGCTATCGTGCCTTTGATAAATACGTATCTACCCCCGGGGTCTGACTTCTGCTCCGTGCAAACGAATGGGACTGTACTGGAGAGTAGGATTGCTACTCCGGCCTTCTTCCCGTCCGGGTGATTAGCATAGAATCCTGTGGGGTAACGCCCGTTTCTCACGGTTGGCGCCTCTGTACCCTGAAAATGTGTTTCCTGTAAGAACGCCACTGAGGCGCGCTCTGCCCACAGTGTGCGAAGTAGTTGGGACCTTTTTTCGGGAATGTTTAAGCCTCTTACATTGTTAGACCATAGGGTCAGTGGTGTCGGCTTGTAGTTAGAGCCCATCTCTATCAGCGTTTGTTGTGAGGCGTGTGTGGGTATGTGTGCGTCAGTGGTTGATGGGTATAGGGGTAAGGTCTGTCCGGTGTCTGGGGAGGGTGATAGTCTGTCCAAGAGAAAGGCAACTGTGACTCGCCTCGGTTTTGTCGCCTTCTGGTGTCTGTTCCCCTGGGGGTGAGTCACCTCGGTGGCCTCCGAGTGTATATACAACGTGAGTCCGTTGCTTGGGGTATGCGGTCCCTCTAGTGTGGGTCGTTCGATAGTGTTGTGTCGAGCCTTTCCCTTGGCTCCCAGCTCACCTATTGTGTTGGGTTGTAGATCTCTCCGAGTATGTTTCCGTCCCGGAAACCCCACCCACCTTCGTTGCCCCTCCCTGTCTCGGCCTATGTATGGCCTGTGTATGTGTCTGACTCTAACTCGGGCCCCAAGTTTCACGTCATTCTGTAACTGTTGCTACACGTATTGTACCGCGTCCGCGCAATTGTTTACAAACAATAAAAACCATAAACCAATATAACAATCATAATAAACAGTTGTGGAGCAAGGCCCCCCATTCTATCCCCCCCCCCAAAGGGAGCTCCCCACACCCCCCCCTTGGTGGCCCCATTACATGCCTGAGAGGCCCTCGGCTGTCCAGAAGGTGCTGGGATCTATGCTATCGGTCGTGCCCTTCAGGCTAGAGCTTGGGGAGATCACCCTTATAGCGGTGGGTATAACCCTGGTATGGTGGCAGCCTCCCAGCTTCCACCCCCGCACCCCCTCCACCCAAAGGTAGTTGGTGTTCCCGGGCCTTGGCCACTAGGAGAGTCCCAGCGTGGCATGTCCATGCAAAGTCTATCTCCTGGGGGTCCCCACCCCTGGTTGTGAGGCTCAGGTTAGGCCACCCCCTGCTAATGAGGATCTGGACCCCATGTTGCGGGCTTAGGTCAGGGAATCAAGTACATACCAAGTTGTGCTGTGGTTCGACCAGGTGCGTGGGGGGCAATGTCGTCTCGTGGTGCCCGACACCCACAGGAGCTTCCGGTGGTCGTGTCTAGGCCTTCTGAGCTGTCTTGTGGCCTTCTCTCGTAGTGGCTGGGGGGCCGTTGGTGGGGTGGCAGGTTGACGGTCGGGTTAACAGAATGGGAGGTAGGGGAACAGGTTCATAGGGGACAGTTATTCTTCATGGCTGTCTGGGCCACCCCGCCGGAACCCGCTTCCTGTGAGGCCCGTGCCCGGCCTGTCGCTAACCGCCCGTGGATGCTGTGGTTGTCGCTCCAGGACCCAGTTGGATATCGTCACCGCGGGTAGACTCGTGGCTCATAGGAAGCGTGGAACATCAGCTGGCCAGCGGATGATATGCCAGGTTTGGCCCACCCTCGCCTGCAGGCTGA